CCAGCTCTCACTTCCATACATCACTACTGGAAAAACCAGAGTTTTGACTATGTGGACTTTTGTCAGCAAGGTGATGTCTCTGCTTTTGAAGATACTGTCTAGGTTTGTCATCACTTTCCTGCTAAGAAGCAGGCGTCTTTTAATTTCATGGCTGCTGTCACCATGTGCAGTCATCATGGAGCCCAAGAAAGTAAAATCTGTCACTGCCTCCATATCTTCCCCTTCTATTTCCCAGGAGGTGATGGACCAGTGGCCATGATCTTAGTCTTTTTGATGTTGAGCTTCAGACCATTTTTTGCACTCTCCTCTTTCACCCTCATTAAGAGTTTCTTTAATTCCTCCTCACTTTCTGCCATCAGAGTGTTATCATCTGAGCTACTGACATTTATATTCCTGAGGCCCTCCCTGATGTCAGCGGGGAGGGAGGGACATATATATGTCTTGCTTGCACATACACTTCTCTGCATGCACAGAGAAAGCTCTGGGCTCACTATTTATTTATTTATTACATTACATATCCTGCCTTTTGCCCACTTAGCTCAATATGGTATCCGAAGCTTCCCTTACATTTTGACCTGGTAACTCTGTGATGTAGGCCAAGCTGAAAGAGCCTATGTCACTCAAAGTGTTTTCATATACACAATTCCCACACAGACACACTGTCAGTAGGTAGAGATGGGGAAGTTTAAACCTCCCCTCCTTGTCTCCTGGGATGTACACTTCCTCGGGATTACTGGGTCAGCTACAACCTCTACCTGCTTTTCTCAGATAGTGGACTGAAAAGCCCTGAAATTGCTGCATGGTAATATTCTGGGTGCTCTGTTCCAGCTACAGTGGGATAAGGGGTAAAGCAAAAGCCTCATTCCTAACAAGCTCCACCAAAATGGTCGTTTTCTCACTGCTGCTAGTAGCAACGGAACAACATAACCACCATCTTGGAAAAAGTAACCGCCACGTGATCAGTAGTCCCCCTATGTCTTGCCTGGGCATGAGAAAGACTCTTTTGCCTTTCTCATATCCAGACAAGACATACGGGAACTACTGGCAACATAGTAAGAAGAGGGGACTCCGCTAAAGGGGAGCACTTGGGAACACTAAATTAAGAGTGTTAAAGAGGAGGTGTGTAGAAAATGTCTGAAATGGCTGAAAGGTAACCTTTTTGCATCTTAGTTGGTGAGAAGTGCATAATTGACCTGCCTTGGACTAAACATATGCCACATTTCAGAACTCTAAGTCATTGTTTCCTGTGTCAGGTTGGCCCAGAGGTAATGCTATAAATAATGAGTACGGTAGAACCAGGTGAGTGGACTCTGTTTCCTATGACTCAATTAAGCTGTGGGAGGCTTCAAGAATCTTGAGAATGAAGCAGCTCACCTCAATTATTTTTCATCAATTGCGGTCACTTCTGATCTTAATCTTCAGGCACTTGGTTTTTGAATACCATTTTGAATGCACTCCCCATACACACTAAAACACAGACACTTGCCTTCCCACAGCAGCCCCTACCTGCTGTTCTTCAGATTCTGCATTGAAAAAGCTCTCAGGTTGCTGCCCGGTAATAATGTGGGTGCTCTGTGTCAGCATTGGCTCTGTTACCACGAACCCAGCATCAGGTTTCAATCCTATGTGGCTTGGGTCCAGCTATGGGTCGGGGCTATTCGAGGGATTGTATTACCCCATACTGTGAGTCTACTCTGCTTTTCTGGGGAGGCCCTTCTCTCACTTATTTGGTGAGGACACTCCTTCTCTGTGTCTGTTCCCAGGCTCTGGAATGCACTGGCCCAAGAACCTTTCCTTCTGTCAAAGATCTTCCTTTTCACGCAGGCTTTTCAGGAATAAGTGTCTAGGGAATGCTTTGTTTTAGAAATTTAGATACTTTTACAATTTTTAAAAATGTTTTCAAACTTGTTTTTTAATGTTGACAAATATTTGTTTTTAATATATATATATTAATATTTTAACTTATTATTGCATGATTGTAATTGTTGTGAGGCACCTTGGGCCCCCTATGGGAAGAAAGGTGGCATATTAAACAAACAAACAAACACAAACAAACAAACAAACAGACAATTGCTGTAAGGCTCAGTAATCAGCTTTAGCTCAGATTCAGATAAATCCTCCTTGATGCAATAGAACTGACCAATAAAAGTGTGTGCCTGTGTCTCTGCGGAAGTAAATCTTCATATAGGTGTAACCTGGATATTCCTCTTGCCCCCATTTCAGATCACATGGAATGGTCTCCAACAAATGTCCATCTCACTGGCTTTTATGAGATATAAACAAGCACATCATATACAAAGAGACTGACAGAGGGACACACAGAGCTAAACTAAATTGTAAACTTATGATTTATATCTTATATTGCCTTGTTTTTATCTATGTAAAATTGTGTATACAAATTGTTTTTATTGTATATGTTGTGAGCCGCCCAGAGTAATCTATGTCTAGATGGGCGGCATATAAATGCAATAAATAAATAAAATAAATAAATAAAGCTTGCAGTTAGAGATGGGCACAAACCACGGTTCGGCCTGGTTCAGCATGGTGCCCACACAGGTATTCCACAGGTGGGTTTCCTCCCCTGCCTCCTCAGGCAATCACCCAGTGATTGGGAAGCTTGTGCTGCCGTCAGTGAGTGGGTGATCACCTGAGGAGGTGGGGGAGGGAAGCACAAAGCACCTGCAGAACACTTGTGCGGGATCCATGCCAAACCACAGTTTGTGTCCATCTCTACTTGCAGTCATTGGAAGGAAACCCTTAAGAGAGAAATGGCTGTGTTTACTATAACATAAGCTTGTTACAATCTGCATTTTGTAACTTAATTTGCTTTCATTTGATACTTGATCACTGCGTAATAACACTGGCTTCTTCTGCAAATCTGATTTCTCAGGCATATTTTATTTATTTAAAATATTTTTACCCCACCTTTCTCTTTAAAAAGGACCCAAGGCAGCTTACATCATTAAAATACAATATTTAAAATGAATTAAAAATATTGTATTAAAAACGGTAAAGAAAATCAACATCAAAAGCACATTTAAAAGCAGTAAGGCACAACTATCCATTTTAAAACTCCTCTCAGACAGACAGCCACTCAGGGAAAACCTGCCTGAAGGGAAAAGTCTTTACCTACTTGCAGAAGGGCAGCAAAGATGGGGCCAGTCTGGCCTCCTGTGGGAGGAGGTTCCAGAGCCTGGGAGCAGCAGCAGAGAAGGTTTTTGAAGGATTTGTTTCCCTGGATGGACAATATTTTAAGAGCAGAAAATATACATTTCCCTTAATGTGTTTTCTGATTCCCCTTCCCCACTCCCCCTGCAGTCTCACACACATTCAATTAAGCTAGATTCATGTATCCAAGAACAGACTTTCAATCTTATCCATAGTCACTGGGACTGGAAATTAAAGTATTGATTTTCACTTTGTAAATGAAGCCTTCTTGACTTCAGTAACTTTTTTGAGCAGTTGTGGATTGCTTTGAAGAGAGAATGTTTGGCTTTCCAGATTTTGTTAAACTACAATTTCCATCAACCCTCACTATTTGCTATCCCAGTCAAGGCTCATGGGAACTGCAATCTAATACTGTTAACTTTAATTAATTTTCATAAATATTATTCCCTGGGGGTTTTTTCGCACCCTCCCACCAAACATCCAAATCCCAGTTTTGCCATGAAACCCTTTGGGTGACAACTTTCCCTCAACCTAACTTATTGTGAAGATATGGGAAGCTCCTGTACTCTTTCTCTTGAGTTTCTTAGAGGCAGTATAATAATATTATATAGTACTTAATTATGCTGGCAATCCCTGTTAGTAGTTAGGGCACACTGGTACCTTTTCCAATCTGTGCCATCAGGGTACATTTGTAAATAAGGTCTCCCTATTGTACTGAATCTCCAAGCTCCCTGCCCATTTTCCTAACAGGAGGAGGGTCATGTGTAAATGGGGGCAAATGCCTGAGCGTTTACTAGCTGCTTTGTGCATAAGGTTTCCATGACAACTACCTTCAGACAGCCTACTGGAATTTCAAGTTCTCTAAAACAGTTCCCACAGAGGTTCATGGCCTGGCCGCCCGACTAAGTAAAGGCCGCTCAGAGTGGTATAAATATACCAGATGGGTGGGATATAAATAAAATAAATCAAATTAAATCAAATCAAATCAAAGAAAGAAAGAAAGAAAGAAAGAAAGAAAGAAAGAAAGAAAGAAAGAAAGAAAGAGAAAGAAAGAAAGAAAGAAAGAAAGAAAGAAAGAAAGAAAGAAAGAAAGAAAGAAAGAAAGAAAGGTCGGCTCTAGAGATGGGCACAAACCGCTGGTTCGGCTGGAGGGCTGAACCACTGACCCGCCCTGCCCACTCTCCTCCTCCCAACAAAGGAATCATTCGATGTTTTGTTTCATTTCACATTTATTGCACCTTGTTTATCTTCCCCCAAAGAGACAGCTGACGCTGTTTATACCAAGGAGAGCTTCGCAGAAATTAAAATCTAACATGGTGAGAGTCCACTGGTGCCAGCTATCACCAAGTTCGTCTTCTCGCTAAGGAAAGCAAGAGCCTTCCCTCTCCGCCTCCGCGGACGTGGCCGGCCGCCCACCCGGATCCTTCCAGATCAGAAGGAAATGCTGGGTATCGGGGACATTTGTTTTTGCAGAACGTCGTGGGCCGTTGTAGGTGACGACGACCCTGTCGGGCCGCTTCTTGCCCCCGCCGCCGCCGCCGCTCCGGGCTTCCAGTGGCCGGTGAGGGGGGGGG